GAACATGGTTGTACTGTTCTAACAACAAAATTTATGTTCTTCTAAAGTAGAGTACATTAACTTAATTATTTCACTAGTCTTTTCCTACTAGGTCACATTTCATTTTAAAAATCTAAATTATCATTTTATATGTAGATTAATTTCAAAATTCTTCTAAAGTAGACTACATTAACTTAATCATTTCACTAGTCTTTTCCTATAGTACCAGGTCACATTTCATTTTAACAGTCTAAATTATCATTTTATATGTAGATTAATTTCAAAAAGTTAACACATCAATATTTATAAAAATTCTACTCATTCTAGGGAAACCACATAGATAAAATACAATTCATCACATTTTCAAAACACGAGTATGAAAATTTATTTCCTAAACATGTATGAAGAAAACAAAGATAATTTCATTGAAATTCAAATTAAAATTTTACACAAATGAAAACAATCAAACTAGAAATTATTCTCCTTTTACTCCACTTCAAATCTTCTTCTTACACACAAATATTACTCACCAAACACTCTAAATCCCATCACACAAACATTTTTTAAATCCTATTCTCTTTAAATGATTGATGAAGCAAATAACTCCTCAGGTGCCTTAAGACATTTGATTTCTATTAATTTAACCCCTTTGAGGTACAACAACATGACACAAGCCTTAAAAATTGTAATCCCATGTACTCATGCACCTAGGTGACCAGATCTGGCACCTAGGTGTCTGGAGCTCTTTCTTTGGGTGCTTAGGCACCCAAATCTCATATCTGGACATCTATGGCTTTGTCTTTGGATGCCCAGACTGGCTTAGCTCTTTTTGCTCCCTAAGTTAGCTAATCACCTATATACAATCTAAAACACCAAAATACTCATGTAAAATATAAAATAACATAATTAAAGATAAAAAAAATATATGAAAAGTAGCACACACATTTGATATAGATCAAATACCCCCAAACTTAGCTCTTTTTCTCCCTAAGTTAGCTAATCTCCTATATACGATATAAAACACGAAAATACTCATGTAAAATATAAAATAACATAATTAAAGATAAAAAAAAATATGAAAAGTAGCACACACATTTGATATAGATCAAATACCCCCAAACTTAGGTAATTTTAAAATCTAAAATTAAAATATTTGAAAAATCAAGATAGATTCATATTTAGGTTTGTAGCGTTCTTTAGTAATGACATGAACAAATAATTCATGCTTCATAAACCTCTTATTAGGATTGAATTTTCTCAAAAACTATTGGTATCCTAAAATAACTTGTATTAATACTCTTTCTATATAATTACCCCCAAATCACTTATGTTTGGTTAACTAAAATAAGATTATTTTTTAAATATAAATAATTCAAATTGACTAATCAACTGGAAAATATTAATTCAATTAGTATCCTATTGAATAGATTATTCTAAATTTAGAGTTAAAGAAAGTTTTGATTCTCTGATGTTCGAAAAGAGAGACTAGTACCGATTTAAAATTTCAAGCTTAACCTTAAGCTTCTCTTCCAAAGCTACTAAAGATTTTTCTTTATAACTAGAGCTTTTTCAATTTTACTTTTTATTTTGATTTTTTTTTTTTTTATACTAAAGATTTTTCTTTCAAAGAGGATTATTACATTTGGCTAAGCTATTTCTTTTTAGTTTTGAATACCCATTTTTTTTCCTAAGCTAACTTCTCAATTACCTCCTCACTCAATCCAATATATTGCAATTCAAAGGATACTAACTAAGAACTAAATTATGTAAATTGGTTAGTTATTAAATTGTATATATTTGAAGGATCAATTTTATTTATATTCAATTTTTAACAACATGTTTATGAATCCTTATTTAAATGAGTAATTAATTATAATAAGAAGTCAACCATTAGGAAGTCACTAATAAATTCAAAACTAACTGAAGATTTATTTCACATCTAATTATTTCCTTTACATGTTAATAAATAACCCTGAATACTAATTGAATCTACCATTTTTATAAGAACTCTAGGATATATAAATCTACTTTTACTTTAGGGCATAGTTTTTAAATAAATTCCTCCCACAAACTTTTTCTACACTACACATGAAAACAACAATAGAATTAAAAAAAAAAAAAAACATAGTGGTGTAGAAACATGATTGTGTAA